ATATAAGGAAATACTCTTTTACAAAAATAGCGTGGCCCACTGTACGTTACTAAGCAATACTTTTTGGTTTCGGTGCATTGGTTTTGCCCTCCGATTCGATAAATATGGACCCACACTATTGCCCATTTTAGAGAAGTTAGTGAATGACTGAATGAATGAGGTGATTATTTACTACTTAAGCAATTAAACAATGAACGAATAAATCGTTTCCTGAAGTGCTGAGATCTTTATCTGCTATGTATTGAACATTTACGATGCATGTGACATTTATCTTTTGGGGTTGACGTTTACTCTCTTGATGATTACACAATTTGGTAAATCCGCGTCCCATTTCCAGGTACGATGTTACCAAAACGAATTCACCCATACAATAGCGCGAATTTAATGGGTGAACTAGTAAATGTATGTCCAGAAAGGTCACCCACATATGCGTTTTTTTCTTTAGGGATCACTTAGTGTGCAGTCTATCCGAAGAAACGCTACATCCAGGGAAACCCATATATTCTCTACCCCAAGTTGGACTGTCTGAGGCTTTCCCTCCGGCCAAAAAAGCTGAGGAAGTGAGTGTCCATTGCAGACTGATACCGGTTACCGACCACTGCCTTAGGAACAAAATATGAATTCTCTTTGGAGATGTGGCATTGTTTTGAACGCATTAAAACGCGATGAATCAGATCTCAACTTTTTCAACGATTCAGGGTAGCGTTCATACCGTTCGTTTTCAGCCTTAATGCTGATACAGCGTAAATTCTTTCGCTTTTTGGCTTGTAGTCCACTTAACATAGATGAAGGATGAAGTTCTAGCCGAAGCGCACACTCGTGACTATCTGCCCAAATGACGATGAAAATTTTGCTCAGCGAACAGATCAGTAGAGACCTGGTCAAATATCAGTTTCGGACATCCAAGTTTGTTGAAACTACCAGATTTATTTGCTACCTAGAATAACACCAGCTGGAAGAAATGGCATACTAAAAGCTGAATTTTTTTTTACCAACCTCACGGCCATGATTAATGCAGCGAAAACAAATTCCGTATCACAATAAAACGCTGTCTCTTACTTTGAACACCACAACTGCTGTACTGACATTCGATACAATGTACTTTATTTTTGTAGACCCCCGCAATCCCATGTTAAAATCGCCAGCAGTAGAAGAAAATACGTACATTACTGAAAAAATAACTGTACTATCGTATTACTCTTACAGTCGTCTTTACGACCCAGATAACATAGATCCCAACTAACCTGCAGCCTTCACCTCAAGGTCCGTGGGTAGGGATTTCGAAATTTGTTGTGACCAGTAACTACTGACTGGATGAAGGTGCGAAGAAACATCTGGATTAATGGGCAGCTCGTTGCACACGGAAGGGCATAATTCCAAGTGTTGTCTGACTTCCTTGTTCGGGATCTTGTCTGACTTGCACTCCGACGCCAAGATGGCATCGATCGTAAATAACTGCTGAGGCTGAAAACAGTGAGCACAACTCATTCCAGAAGAAATAAATCTCAAATACTGACCAGCTTTAGGATAAACTGGAACTTAATGAAAACGTGACATCTGCCGAATTCAGCTGACCAATCTCAATGAAGTAATAGTCAACTTAACCCACCCACATTCAACCTACTGCTTGCTCATATCTCCCCCCCCCACGCACTGGGTGGAGAGAGAGCAACTCAGACAAAAGACGAGTCAGACCAATTAGACCACTTGATGTTTTGTCCAATCGGAAAACTGCGAATTCCTCTGTCGGTGCGTAGGAGTGAAATGGGGGCATAAACTCATTTGCAAGTTGTATTGATGTATATACACATGAATTTCAACTGAATCTGTCGTCTACGGTAGTCATAAGTTAGGTCAACATGAATTAAAGAGGCGTTTTATGTAACGCGGTGTTGTCCTGCTCGAAACATGAAACTGACATTATTCATTTCCTTTTTTCAGTCAGCCCATTTAAGGATGTGTGAACCTTGAGGTTGCCTTGTATTAAAAAACTGACAATCAATAGGATCTTAAAATCAACTGTGTCCATGAGTCCCTTGAGCCAGATATTTCACTTCCAGAGTCAAACTTTGTATATTCCCCTGTAGGACCAATAGGCTAAACTCTTTAAAATAATCAGCCAACCTAAGTTATCGCACGAATTTTCCACATTTATAAGTTTGGCAAGATCGACGACTCTGGGATTTTAACAACCACGGTTTAATAATTGTCAAACCGGTGGCAAGAATCGCTAATTTACGATTAGTTTCTAGTTTTCGATTCATTTTCCGCATGAGTCAATAGCGGAGCAAAGATACTAGTTTAGCTTGGTTGTTGGTCTGTTCGCCGAGCTTGGCAGTTGGATGGCAAACGTTTCATCACCAATCGAGGTGATATCGTCAGTGCAGGGTTGAGCGGCGAACAGATCAACAACGAAGCAGTGCACCCGAGCCACCTACATTCCACAACATTGCTAATACTAGTTTAGCCACTAACTGTAAGTTCCCAGTTATGCAAACTGGGCGGCAGACTCAGAAACTTGTGAAAACGACCTGAAAAGGACAAGATCATATCTCCGAAACCTATATGTCCACCTGATGGGCACAAATAGGGACGAGAGCGCCCATGTTGCCGAGTTGATTGAATTTTCAGTTCAGTATCTCCATGAATCTGTCAATTATAGATATGATTAGCGAATGTGAGGAAATCGGCATTCTTACGATTTACGAGCAGTCAAATATTATCCCTAAGGATTCAGACAATTAAATGGAGATGGATAATTCGGCCATGGCCACATGAAATAACAAGGTTAGTTTTCAAGTCAATTTTTAGAATCCCTTACTTTGATGAGCTTGTGTTGAATGACGTACATCGAACCGAAATATAATGAGTTAATGAGTCAGTCAAATCATGTCAATGAATATTAAGAGGGACTATTTATCGCTATTCTGACTGAATTCGTTCCGATAGCTTCATTTGTTTCCGTCTGGTTAAGTACCAACTGCAATAGATGTACCAGTGAAATAGCCCCGAGAATTCAATGGAATATGAGAACTTAGTGACCCATCGAATTTGTTAGTTACTAGACATAACACGCTTCTCATAAGTTTTCTGAAAACTCTTCGACAGCCCACGACCCGTTTTGCCCTTATCGGGGCAAAGCCCACGAGTTTTCATCAACTTCTTATTATACCTAGGAAATATAGTCCGTAGGTTTTACTAAGCATACACGTCGTTAACGTTAAAGCACGAGCTGGGCGATATCATTGCATGTTATTCCTGTGATGAGTTAGTGTGGGACATCCGAGCAACAAAATAACCTCCGGTATATCACGTGGTGCTCAAACAACACATCAGCACGAAAGCCGAAAGAAGTCCATTCAAAGTTATTGAAATTTCGAGCTAGCTGACAAGAACCATGACATTATCTAAACTACGCTCGACTGGTAAAAATCCCGAGTGGAAAATTCTAAGTGTGATGAACGTTTTAGTTCGATAAGGCATCCTGCTTTATTTATAAGATTCTGATTGAGAAAAATCCTAATTAGAGGTGGTGTATGCTCTTTGTTCAGGACGAAAGTAGGGGTATCATAATGGAGATCTGCACTTGCTTACTTACTTACTTACTTACTTACTTAATACCATCGGTCATTTTTGATCAGCATGGTCACAGACACATGAAGTAATTACAAGCAGTGAAATGGAAGTATTACAGGGGAATACTAGCTAAGAGGAGAGAAGTGTCTCATTCGAACTAATGCCACCGACAGTTCCAGTCAAATAAGATGAATCCTAAAGTATGTAATAATTTTGGTATGGAAATACGCGTGTAAAAACCAACAGCCGAAGAAAGAACAAACGATGTTGAACGCTATTCAAAGCGCAGCAAGCGCTATCATAGTCAAGACTCGCACATCAGGCACGAAGTGTCCGTCATACTGGGTCATGTGTGAGATAGAATGGCAACAATGTGCACTCAGGGCCATGTGCCACGCATTGTGTCGTGAGTACGCATACAGTCTACACTGGCAATGACTGTAATCTTAGGACGTAGCACTGAGAGCATGACAAGGGAATATTCATCACCAGCATACTTCTGCGTCCTCTAGTCCCACACAGTCACTCCGAGCATATCCGAGACTATGCTGACGTCTATTACAGTTGCACGGTGCTCCCGAACAGCAATTACGTCAGGTCTGATGAAGGACGTCGAAGTAGGTGCTCTCAACACCTCAAAGACGATGTATCCCAGTCGACGAGCACGTCTGGCGTCATATGTGATACAGCAGAACTGTAAAATATGCACCACACTCTCCGGTTGGCCACAGTTTCCACGACATAACCTTGTCTGGCCACCATGGTCATGCCGAACGTTTCTAACTCTCGTCCTGAGCATGCTGCATGCTGAATACTGCGAATAAATGTCTAAGAAAACGATTGTTCTGGGACTACAAGTCATCGATTACAAAGAGGCGAAGCGAACAGCTCTCGTGAACCTCGACATTCAACGCTGTTGTGCAGATTATCGCCCCAAGCAGCCACCAGCTCCTCCTTGGTGTTTACGCATGCTCCATGGACTCGGATCGGAAGGCTGAGATCCCGAACAATTTTGCCAAATGCGGAATCGTTGACCACATTGCATAGTACACGGCAATGAGTGAAAAGGAGCTTTTCCATGAGCGTTCTCCGCTGCATCGGGATTGTTGCACTCAGACTTGGGATACCAAGTCCCCCATGTTGTTTACCAGCGTGGATGTAGCTGATCGGGGTGTCCTTCGCTAGACGCAGTCAGCCACGAATAGATTACCTGATGTAATTTTTCAACCTTTTGGGTGTGTTTCGGTGGACTTGTTGTTTACCAGGATGTAGCTGATCGGGGTGTCCTTCGCTAGACGCAGTCCGCCACGAATAGATTACCTGATGTAATTTTTCAACCTTTTGGGTGTGTTTCGGTGGACTTGGCCGAGCACGAGCGAATTCGTCAGCCTAGGTGTCACACAGATTCTCGTGATATCCATTATTTGATGTCGTTTCAGCGGGTCACACGTCACCTCATCGAGCAGTTTGAACAGATGCTCTCGATGGTCGAAGACTCCTTTCCCCTTGAAAGTGAATGGAATGCTCAAATATGTTACGTGTCTGTCGGACTGAGAGGAGTGGTGAGTTCCTCGGGGAAGCAAAATGGTTCGATTGAGATTGTGGTCATCCGATTTTTCCTGTCTCCACAAATAACCATCACTTTAGTCTTTCGGGCGTTTATTTTCACGCCAGCTCTTCCCAACTCGACCCCAGCAGCTTCAAGCTTCTCTTTAAGGCGTGCCTGACTTTCTGCACACATGACCCAGTCGTCAGCGAAAGCAAAACACTTACTTACTTACTTACTTTACTTACTTACTTACTTACTTACTTTACTTACTTACTTACTTACTTACTTTACTTACTTACTTACTTACTTACTTTACTTACTTACTTACTTACTTACTTTACTTACTTACTTACTTACTTACTTTACTTACTTACTTACTTACTTACTTTACTTACTTACTTACTTACTTACTTTACTTACTTACTTACTTACTTACTTACTTTACTTACTTACTTACTTACTTACTTTACTTACTTACTTACTTACTTACTTTACTTACTTACTTACTTACTTACTTTACTTACTTACTTACTTACTTACTTTACTTACTTACTTACTTACTTACTTTACTTACTTACTTACTTACTTACTTTACTTACTTACTTACTTACTTACTTTACTTACTTACTTACTTACTTACTTTACTTACTTACTTACTTACTTACTTTACTTACTTACTTACTTACTTACTTACTTTACTTACTTACTTACTTACTTACTTTACTTACTTACTTACTTACTTACTTTACTTACTTACTTACTTACTTACTTTACTTACTTACTTACTTACTTACTTTACTTACTTACTTACTTACTTACTTTACTTACTTACTTACTTACTTACTTTACTTACTTACTTACTTACTTACTTTACTTACTTACTTACTTACTTACTTTACTTACTTACTTACTTACTTACTTTACTTACTTACTTACTTACTTACTTACTTTACTTACTTACTTACTTACTTACTTTACTTACTTACTTACTTACTTACTTTACTTACTTACTTACTTACTTACTTTACTTACTTACTTACTTACTTACTTTACTTACTTACTTACTTACTTACTTTACTTACTTACTTACTTACTTACTTTACTTACTTACTTACTTACTTACTTTACTTACTTACTTACTTACTTACTTTACTTACTTACTTACTTACTTACTTTACTTACTTACTTACTTACTTACTTACTTTACTTACTTACTTACTTACTTACTTTACTTACTTACTTACTTACTTACTTTACTTACTTACTTACTTACTTACTTTACTTACTTACTTACTTACTTACTTTACTTACTTACTTACTTACTTACTTTACTTACTTACTTACTTACTTACTTTACTTACTTACTTACTTACTTACTTTACTTACTTACTTACTTACTTACTTTACTTACTTACTTACTTACTTACTTTACTTACTTACTTACTTACTTACTTACTTTACTTACTTACTTACTTACTTACTTTACTTACTTACTTACTTACTTACTTTACTTACTTACTTACTTACTTACTTTACTTACTTACTTACTTACTTACTTTACTTACTTACTTACTTACTTACTTTACTTACTTACTTACTTACTTACTTTACTTACTTACTTACTTACTTACTTTACTTACTTACTTACTTACTTACTTTACTTACTTACTTACTTACTTACTTTACTTACTTACTTACTTACTTACTTACTTTACTTACTTACTTACTTACTTACTTTACTTACTTACTTACTTACTTACTTTACTTACTTACTTACTTACTTACTTTACTTACTTACTTACTTACTTACTTTACTTACTTACTTACTTACTTACTTTACTTACTTACTTACTTACTTACTTTACTTACTTACTTACTTACTTACTTTACTTACTTACTTACTTACTTACTTTACTTACTTACTTACTTACTTACTTTACTTACTTACTTACTTACTTACTTACCTACTTACTTATTGTTTAAAAATCCATGCTAATGATTTCGTAGTGGGATGATACCAATCTGATTTTGTGTAGAATTTTAGGTCAGTTACAATGGTGCATCTATGATACTACCTATCTGATTAGTCTCAACAATCTCAATGGAGTTCACGTTGGATCAGACTAAATGTGAAATTCCTTTTCCTTA